TGCATTATGATTTCCAAAGTATTTAAGGCTTCTTTGGAGGTATGACTGCCAAAAGGTAAACGCAAACCACGACCAATAATTTGTTCGATAAAAGTAGCCGATTTAAAGGCTCGTAAAGGAACGATAACATAAACATTTTTGACATCTCAACCCTCTTTTAGCATACCAACCGCAATAATAATTCGAGTGGGATTGTGGGGATTATCAATATTTTGTAGTTCTTGGGCTAAATCATCGGTAATTTTGCTACTATCCACTTGGAGAATATTTTCAGAGGGAAATTCGCAATTAACAATTAAACTACTCCTAATATTTTTGGCTTCTTCAATACTAGGGGCAATTGTTAACATTAAGGCTTTTTGAGAATTTAAATTGTTTTGTTGGGTATAATTGTCTAAAAGAATTTGTTTGGCTTCTAATAATTTTATCGCATCTTTTAATTTCGTTTCTTCCTCCTGATAGCCATCATAGCGACCAACCATAACCGGAATTTTGATTAATTTATCCCGCAAGGCTTTTCATAAAGGATATTCAAAAATAATTTCCTCGGCTGGTGTTTTTTCATGCGGAGTGCCAGTTAGTCCAATTAAAATTTTTGGTTTTAGTTCTCGAATGGCTTCGGAAAACTTTTCCCCGTAATATAAATGGTGTTCGTCAGCAAAAATAACCAAATCATCTAATTTACTTAAATGTTCCCGTAAAGATTGACCCAATACTTCATCATAATTACTAGTTTTGCGAGCGGTCTTGCCTTTGGCTTGGGTTAAAGATTGAACTGTAAAAATAAATAATTTAGCAGAATTTTTGTCAGTAGTTTTGGCAGTGTGAAAATTTTTGATATCAATAATATGGGGTGGTTTAATGGTTAATTTATCAGCCAAGGAATTAGGTTTATTGAGTGAAAAGTTGTTAATGGTCTTTTCTCTGATTATTTTTCCAGGAGCAACAATTAAAAAATTAGTTATCTTTTCGGCTTCGGCTAAATAGTTTAAAATAGCCGCCATGATATAGGTTTTTCCAACCCCGGTAGCTACGGAGAGAATATGTTCAGATAATTTTTGCGGATTGTTTTCTGAATTGTAATAATGGCTTAAAGAGGCTTGAATTGCTTCTTTATTTGGTTGGCGGAGTTCTAGTTTTTTGGAAATATTGTCGATGATGGTTTGGTTAAGCATTAATATTTTTTTAAGTAGCCGTTAAAGATTTATTTTCTTAACTTTTTCAAAATGTAATTCCTTAATGTATTTATTTATTTTGCTTGGGGTTAAGGGATTCCGGCTAGGAGTTATTTTTTCTATCATCAAATAATCAATTGACAAGGGAAATTGATGCTTAGCATCTAAAGGTACGGCTATTCCTCAACTATTTTTCAAGTCTTCGTAATCTAGTTGAAAGAAGAATTTAACTCCTCCTCTATCGATAAAATAATTTCTTTTTTCTCGTCCTGATTTCTTTCAGATATGATTGCTAATTTCTAAAACCAATATTTCTCGGTCGTTAACTAACAAATAACCCTCTTCCAACCAATCTTTACAGGGATAAGGAGTAAAACCTTTTTCTTGCGAAATTTTTTTCATTCATCGTATATTTAAATTTTATCTATTACAAAGTTAGAATTAAATGTCAGTACTTTACAGACAAAATTCCTTAAACGTCAATGGTTTAGAAATAAATCAACCTGACATTAATTTCACACAAAGTAATATCATTATCGTCTGGTTTTCTTAAAAATAATATTAATATTTAAAAAAAAAA